AAAAAAAAAAAAAAAAAAAGGTTATTGTACGTGGGAAGGGGAAATATCTTTATGAATCATAAAGTGTGAGATTTGAGGTCTTTTATTAATTTTGTTCCTTTTGTGTTTATTTGGGGTTACTGTATTTGGTCCCCGAGTTGGGGAAAATTTAGCATTTATATGTATTTTTATTTTTTCAGTATTTTTAGGATCTTGGGTTTTGATATAGAATGAGAAACAAATTGATCTCGGTTGATCTTGGGCTGATTGCTGGGATTCGACGCAAGATATTGTTTTTGGGGCAACAACCAGGTGATTCTCTCATAAACTCTGTTGGGCCTTTCTATCTCTTGATGAATAGTGATTGTTTTATTTAAATTCTGATGATGAATTCATCATTTTTCTGAGCAGTAAGTTTTTGGTGGGTGTCATGGATTTTTTTTTTTTTTTTTTAATTTAATTTAATTTTTATGTTAGGCTTTCATTTCATTGTGGATATGGCAATGGGTCTCTTTTATGGTGGATCCTCTGCTGATCAGCTTATTAAGTGGAATATGGTTGGTGGAAAAGGTTGATTGATTTTATGGAAACTGAGAGATATGTCATCTGAATCTCCATCGCCAAATTCTCCACCCGCTACCACTGCCCCACCACCAAATAATCCTTCTCATTCTCCGCCACCTCAGCCAACACCGGCATATCCCCCTTCTCATTCTCCGCCGCCACAACCACCACCACCGCCGCCGGCTAGTCCGCCAAGATCACCTATTGCCCCCACCCAGCCACAGCCACCTGAGAACCCCCCACCGCCTCCACGGCCACAGCCTCCTCCCAATAGCTCACCGCCACCTTTACCTGCTAATTCTACTCGTCCCCAGCCACCACCACCACCGCCTCCGCCGTCTGAGAGTCCGGCTTCTCCTCCCATACCACCGCCTAGAGTGTCGCCACCTCCACCGGTTGTGAGCTCGCCGCCGCCTGTTTCAGTAGCTCCACCTGGAAATACGAGGGCCAACGAAACCACCGGTGATACACCGGAAAGTTCTAGCTCTCCGTCTGCCGCCTGTGATGGAGGGATAGGTACTGGAGGCACGACAGCTATTTTGGTGGTTGTTAGTCTTGTGTTGCTCGGTATATTTGGATTTGCTGCCTTCTGCTTGTGGAAACGGAAGAAAAGGGAAGCTGGGTGGAGTGGGGGCCACATTTTGTCAACTTCTATAGGTTCCTCTCCCCAATTAGGTGAACAGTTCTTGGGTTGCAATTGTATATCTGTTTATTGATTTATTTTTTCCCCATGAAGAAAATAAGATTGGTGATTAAAATACTAAAAAAATTGTTTGCACAATTTATTTTCCGTAATACATCGTGACCAAGCACATGATGATGAATAATTTATGTATGCAGTAGAACCTTATTACTGTGTTTGGAGTTTGTAAATTCAAAATTGCCTTATTTCATGTAGAAGGAAAGTTAACTAGTAATCTGGTCTTGTTCTCAGATTCTGGACCACTAAAACTGCAAATATCGGTGCGTAGTAATGCAAGTAGCTCTGGTGGCTTGGGCAGCTCAAGATCGTGGTTTACCTATCAAGAACTAGCTGAAGCCACTAGTGGGTTTTCTGCCCAGAATCTGCTGGGCGAGGGTGGTTTTGGTTCGGTGTACAAAGGAAATCTTTTTGATGGTCGAGAAGTTGCTGTTAAGCAGTTAAAAATTGGCGGAGGACAAGGGGAGAGAGAATTCAGATCTGAGGTGGAGATTATAAATTGTATACACCACCGACATTTGGTATCGCTCGAGGGTTATTGCATTTCTGAGGACAAGAGGCTGCTCGTGTACGAATATGTTCCTAATAATACCCTCTACTTCCATCTACATGGTAAATGTTTTGTGCTTAACGTCGACACGCGGGCATTTGACTTTTGAAGAGATTTATGTTTTAATTTGTGTACAATGTTTTCCCTAGGTCAGGGTAGGCCGGTTTTGGATTGGGATAAGCGCGTGAAGATAGCTGTTGGTGCAGCTCGTGGTATAGCTTATCTTCATGAGGACTGTAAGTTGTTTTTATTTGTACTTTTTTTATTAAGTTGCTGAAATTATTGAAGTTGTCTGTTTTGTTTTTGTTTCTATCTCCGCTTCCCTTTGGATTATGAGCGGTTGCATGGAAATTATTTCTAGAAGTTGATAATATGCCTTTTGATATGAGGGGTCATGGTGTACAAATTGTTTTGTTGCACGATGATAGCAAAGTATAGTGATTCTATTTGCAGTTGCCTCGGGTACGAGAAGGGTTGAAAAATGCAATTACTGCTATAGGTTACTTTTTTTTTTTTTTTACTCGGCTGTAATTTTATATGGACTTATTTCTCAAAATATCTGGGGGCGATATGGGAATGTATCATATACGATTTACCGGTTATTTGAGATACTATATGAAAACTAATATGCAGTAAAAAGAGTTTGATTTGGGCACTGCTATATTAAGTTGTTTCCAGGTTTACTTTTTTACTTATGTCGGTCCATTTTATATTGTAAATGTTAAACAAAAGCACTGTAATCTGCTAAATTGGTTAATCTTTCAGGCCACCCTCGTATAATACATAGAGATATCAAATCATCAAATATACTTTTAGACAGCAATTTTGAAGCGCGGGTATGATAAAGTTCAAGCACTGTTTTTTCTTTATCACCTTCTTTGTTTCTCTTTCTTAGGTCTTTAAGAATAACTCTGGAAAAGCTAATTCCCACAGGTTTCAGATTTTGGACTTGCTAAGCTGGCCATGGATGCGAATACACATGTCACCACCCGTGTTATGGGAACCTTTGGGTAAGTGGCCATCTAATAGATGTATGTTTGGTTAAATAAAAGATAAATGATCGGATAAACAATATTCTCAGTGATGTCCCTTTCATTGTACTTGTATTATTATTCTTTCGGTTATATTTATTTTATTATTACTTTTTTTTCTATCACAGATACATGGCTCCTGAGTATGCATCGAGTGGCAAGTTAACTGATAAGTCTGATGTGTATTCCTATGGAGTTGTGCTCTTGGAGTTGATTACAGGTCGGAAGCCTATAGATACATCTCAACCGCTCGGGGAAGAGAGCCTTGTTGAGTGGGTGAGTCCACTAAGAACTATCATATTCTACGGTTTCATTTTCACAAAGATTTTTGTTTTCCCCCTCAACGGCATCTTAGCACTTTGACTTGTGTAGCTTCATTAGGCATTGAGCATGAGGTTCATTACTGATGGTTATTTTTAAGTTTGGGTTCTGTCTGTCAATATAACTTGATTATTTAGATCATACACATAGTTTTCCTTCAATGGCAGCGTGCATCATGGATTTAAATTGGATATTGACTTGTATTTGTTTAAGACGTGAATACTATTAAGAACATATTATTGCTTGTTTGGAAATACCTTTTGTATTCAAAAGTCCATTTAAAAAATAATTTATGTTGGTGCTTATTGATCATCGCCTACGACGAGTGACGAGTGTGACCCAAAACCAATTTAGGTTTGTCTAGAAGGTCGACCATGGAGGCGATTTTCCTAATACGACAGCTGATGGTCGTAGAAAAGCACAAAGTCTCATCTGAATACATGACCCTCATCAAGGATATGTATAAGGATGCGATGACATGTGTCCGAACATGTGGGGGCGATACCAGCGACCTCCCAATTAAAATATAGGACTACACCAGGGGTCAACATTGAACCCTTATTTATTTGCCTTGGTGATAGATGAGGCCACAAGGGACATACAAGGTGATATCACTTGGTGTATGCTCTTTGTTGATGATGTGGTGCTAGTTGACGAGAGTAGGGCAAGGGTAAATAGGAAATTAGAGCTGTGGAAGGACACGTTAGAGTTGAAAGGCTTCAGACTTAGTAGCACGAAGACCGAGTACATGACGTGCGCTTTCAACACGGTTACATATGATGATGGTGACGTTAGCCTTGACGGGCAAGTGGTGGCCAAGAAGGAGACTTCAGCTATTTAGGATCGATGCTACAAAAGGATGGCGGCATTGATGAAGGTGTTACGCATAGAATTGCAGTCGGTTGGTTGAAATGGCTTTAAGCTTCGTGCGTTCTCTGTGATAAGAGGGTGCCACAAAGGCTAAAAGGTAAGTTTTATAGGAGGACGATTCGCCTGGTGATGCTATACGGTGCTGAATGTTGGCGTACAAAAAGGCAGCATATCCAACAACTAAGTGTAGCAGAGATGCGTATTTTGCATTGTTTTGCGGGCACACAAGAAGGAATAGTATCCGAAATGAGCATCTTCGAGATAGGGTCGGGGTGGCTCCAATTGAGAGAAATTAGTTCAACATCGGCTGAGGTGGTTCGGACATGTCCAACGAAGGCCTCCTGATGCACCGGTGCGTAGGGGATTTCTACAGCGGGTCGATGATGTAAAGAGAGGTAGAGGTCGGCCTAAACTCACTTGGGAAGAGTCGGTTAAAAGAGACCTTAAAGATTGAAATATCTACAAGGATTTAGCGGTGGATAAGAGCGCTTGGAGGCTAGCAATCAACGTGGCAGAATCGTGACTTTTGCTCCTTTCTCTCTTGCTCCGATCTCTTCCTTTTGTTTTGAGCACTTTTTGTGTTTCTCTTACCGTTGGTTCTCTTGAGTTTCATCTCTAGCTTACCCCAACTTATTTGGGACAAAAGACTATGTTGTTGTTGTTGATGCTTATTTGAGAGTAGAACGTATTGATAAGAACGCTTTCCAAAAAGTTCATTATGAGGAAGTAAGATATGTGGCTTTTTGAGAAGGATGTTGTGCAAATGTCCATTTAAGAAATGGACTTCGGGTAAAGTGCTCTCAAAAGAGCACTCGAACATATGGAAGGAATTGACCCAAATCTATATTTTCTGGGAGGAACATATACGAGCTTAAACTACGTAGAAGCTTCCAACAAAGAATATGATATACTTATCTATGACAATTTATTTTTGTTTCTTCTCATACCTTTTGTTGATCTTTTATTGATATTGATATTGTTTCTCTTTCAGGCCCGGCCTTTATTAAGTCTGGCACTCGAGACACTGAAATTTGGTGAAATAGCAGACCCAAAACTTGAAGGAAACTATGTTGACAATGAGATGTTCCGGCTAATCGAAGCTGCTGCAGCTTGTGTTCGTCATTCATCAGTGAAGAGACCCAAAATGAGTCAAGTAAGAATCTTTTTCTGCTATCCTCATAATGTAAGCAAATGGAAATTTTTTAATTTGTTTATTAACTTTTTCAGGTTGTGAGGGCTTTCGACGGCATGGCTGCCCCAGATTTAACAAACGGAATGAGAGTTGGGGAAAGCGAATTATTTAACTTTGCACAACAATCAGCCGAAATTCGACTCTTTCAGAGAATGGCATTTGGCAATCAGGATTACAGCACAGATTTTTTCAACCACTCAAAATAGCTTGGACAGTGAAGCCAACCAAACTAGCAACAGGGAAAATAGCCGGAGAGAATTGTGATGTCGGAAAAAGGTATTTTTCCACTCTACACGAACATATTTTTTACGTAAATGAATTGACAGCTTGGGTTCTTGAATGTTTTTGTATGTATTTAGGCTCTTTCTTGATGACATGAGTTTTGGGTTCGGTGTTAGCAGGTCAAATTTTTGGGTCCTATTTTTTTTTTTTTTTTTTTGGCTTTCTATTTGTAGGAGCGGGTGATTATTTTCCTGTGAATAGAAACAAAATTTTGTTTTCATCACTATCTATGTTCTAATGAATATCTTTTTCAATTTTTCGTTATTCGACCAGTGTCATCGCCTGGTGGATACATTATTCTGATGGAGAATGCAAATGAAATTCGTGTGAAATTTATTTCCAGGTAAAATTGCAATTTTAGTCTTGTTAGTTTGATCTAATGACATTTTTAGTCCTAAAAATCGAACCTTTTGCTATTTGGTCCTATGATTTTAAAATTCAACGCAATTTCAGTCCTTAAGGACTGAAAACGCAACAAGATTTAAAATTAAAGGACTCAAATTGCTAATAAAAATCCTTTTGGATGAATTTTTTATTAGCAATTTAAGTCCTGTAATTTTAAAATTTTGTTGCAATTTCAGTTCTAAAGGACTAAAACTGCTGGAAAATACTAAATTACAGGATTAAAAGACAAAAAGTTAAAATCTTGACACTAAAACTGCTACGTCGTTAAACCAGCAGGACTAAAAATACAATTTTGCCTTTATTTCCATGTGTGAACGTTTTGGGGGGTTTTGATTTACTTACGTTTGATGTTTTCTTGGTTACTCTTTCTAAGACTAATTTTATCGGTGACCAAGAATGAAAAAAAAAAATGGAGAAAAAAGAAAAAAAAAAATGAAAAAGTCATCGAATATGCGCGACTCAGGTCACAATATGATTTTGGATCGCAACCAAGCCAAGAGTTTGGAAATGGAACACTTGTCTATTTTTATTAGACAATTGTATTTTTTAGATAAAATAACATATAATTTATAGTCTGTGAGTTAATTTGTGTTAAAAAATAAAATAAAAATACCAAAACACCTCAAAAATAGTTAATTCAATCTGTCAGGCTAACGAGCGAGTGTAGTTGCTTCAAAGCGGGATATGAAAAGGCACCGCTGCTAGGCTCGATGTAATTGACCTCACTTCACCTTACAAAATTTGTATTTTTAATTCTCTATAAATAGATACCTAGTTTTTGTAACTGAATTGCAATTTCTCTCTCTCTCTCTCTCTCTCTCTCTCTCTCTCTCTCTCTCTCTCTCTCTTTTTTCTTTACTTTTTCCCTAATTCTACATTATTAATTTTATTATCTCTTCTACTTTTTCTTATTTTTCAACAATTACCATATGTACCTTCTGTTCCGAGAATTCCTTATACACATTCAAAATATCCATAAGCACTCTGACTTGTTGAGCCTCAGCTTTGCAGAAGATTAATGTATCATCTGCAAATAGCAGATGTGTAACACCCCGCCTAATTATTCTAGAATTTATAAAATCAGAGTAAAATTTTTATTTTTTATTTTCAAAAAATTATTTAACTTTACTTTCGAAAATACTCATACTAACTCGCGAGATGCTACTAACTTAAACTCTTTCTCATGCAGACGTAAATAAATACATGCAACCTAATCAAATCTGTTATATAAAGGTACCACGGAGATAAAGGCATTAAACATGCATAAGTTTGAATATCTCATAATACTTACTAAGTCTGAAATGTGCGGAAGCTGAAACATAATATGTCTACGCATAGTAATAATAATACATGTTCAATAAATGACATGTAAATGCGTTACAAAAAGACTGCTAATGACCACGACCACCACTGAAATCTCACGCGCCACGTGTTGCTCCGTCACCTGAAAAACGTAATGGGGGCGTGAGCAAAACCACTATGCTCCGCAAAGACCAGTACTTAATTAAACATCATAGTTAATAACAATATCATGGCTTTAAATATATAAGTACTGAACTGAACTGACACTATTCTGATCTCGGCTAAATGCCGCTAATTCATGTGCACACCCTAACCAGAACATTAAGGCCCGCTCAGCCTCCAGGTCAGGACCACAGGCGGAACATTAAGGCTCACTCAGCCTCCAGCCTAGGCGATAAACTATTATTCTGATCTCCGCTAAGCGCCACTAATGCATGTGCACATCCTAACCGGAACATGAAGGCTCGCTCAGCCTCCAGGTCAGGACCACAGGCGGAACATTAAGGCCCGCTCAGCCTCCAGCCTGGGCGATAAACTATTATTCTTATACATACCTCGGACACGGTACAGAAATTAAAGACGATATATAACCAGTACATGACCCCCACCTGGTAAACTGCTACTGATGCAAGTGCTGGCTGTATGGTAGCTGTCGGAGGCTCGACTCTCCTTAAGCTACACAATTAATGAACATAAAGTACTAAGTACTAAGCTCAAACTGAAAACTTGATTCTTATTATTATCTGATCTTACTAAGTTCTCTCGTTCGATTATAAAATCATTTAATCTGAATTTAGAGGACTTGAGCTATTTTGGGGAGATTTGTTGACTTTGAGGCGTTCTAGAGTTCTCTGAAATATTTCTAAGTCTGGTCTGCTTAACTGATTTTTCTGATCTCGCTTATCTGATTGATCTGATTTTATCTGAACTACCTTATATTGTTCTGACTTATCTGACTGGGTTCGGAGAGATACTAAAACTCGGTTCACACTCAAATCGGTATTCCGAACTGTTATTCTCAAATTGTCCAGACTATCCGGACTGATTTGACTGAACTGGACCGGCGGCTTGATCTGAGCCGGCCGGTTGCTCGTCTGACTGGGTGCAACTCGGCTTATCCGTGGTCCGGATACTTACGCACGGACACGGCATTAACCGATGCACACCTTTTCTAATTTGGTCTAGAGTTTATCTGGACTGTCCGAGAAAAGGTGGAACTATGATTCTCTACTCAACCGGCTACCTAACTCGGTTTAAGACGAAACTCAAAATCTAAGTTCAACGTGATTTCTAGTGATTTTAGGCCCAACAACTGCAGCTAAATTCTTAACCGAATAATATCTATAATTTTCAATAAAAGCAGCTAAAGTCCCGAATTATTAGGCTTACCAAACAGTCTCAAAAATCACGAAATTTCAAACATATAAGATTTAGAATTTATAAGATTTTTCCATAAAGTTTCAACGCATTTCGAGACCTTTAGCATTTTTATAAAAAAACCGAGCATTTCGACTACATAATAAATAAATCCGGATAAAATAGTAAACGGGCATAAAAAATCACGAAATTTAACATATAATCTACTTAACCCACCGAACCGAGGAGAAGAGCTCTAGTGCGCCGAGTGGGAACCCACCTGCGTATAAAGTCCAAGGTCAAAACGTCAAGTCTCAAGTCAATACCTATCACGTTCAACTCAAATTTACTACGACCGGTAATTTTACTCGAACCACTCGTTCGCCTTTCTAACGGACACTAAAATTTAATCCGATGACATCTTAAGCCTCAAGTCAACGGGGAGAATTTTATCATATTTATTTCGGCATTTTAATGCGTTTATCGAAAAATCCCGATTTATTCGCTTTAAGCTCGTATGTCCCGATTTTAACCAAAAATCACTCAAATCACATCTTTCCATTTCTTATCTTATTTCATTCTTCAAGTCTAAGCCATATCATTCAAGTTTTTAGATATTATACCTCACGTGATCGAAATCGGCGGATCGAAAAATAGATCGGGCTAAGGAGGGATAAAAATGGAGCAACCTGGTTCGAAAGAGGGCTGCCCGGGTCGAATTACGGCTATGGACCTGCTGAACGGGCCAGATATTGGGCACTTGGGTCGGATTTTTGGCTACAAGGTTGCTATCGGGCTGAGTTTCGTGCGCATGGAGGTTCACCGATGCGGCTGGGCTCGGATTTGGCGCAAGGGGTGCGAGTCCAAGCTCGGAGGTGCACGTGGAGACGCTGTGGAGGGTTGTACACAGTCACCCGTGCTACAGTGATGTCGGGAGTGGCGCGCGGTGGTGCTGTGGACGCGCTCGCCGGAGGTGGAGCTCGAGCTGCGGGTCTGCGCATGAACAGTGACGAGAGTCGGCTTGAGGTGCTGAGCACGACTGGGCGGAGGAGCTGGGAATGCGACCGGGCTGCAATAGTGAGTGGCGAGCTCGGACTGAAGCTGGCGGCTCGAATGGCGAGAAGAGTGGCGGATCTGCTGGAACCGAGGTGGACTGAGGGCTTGGTCGCGGGTCAGCTGCGGGCTTGGTGCGATGGCTGTGGTCGGGAGCTGCAAGCCGAGACTTGGACGTGGAGTGGCGCGGCTGATGTGCTCGAGCTCGGGGTCACCGGGAACTTGCCGGAAAGCTACGATTTTTTGCCAGAAAATGGGAGGTGGTGGCCGGATCTTACATGGATGGTGGTGAAGGAAGCTGTTCTTGATTTTTTGAAGATAGATCTTGCTTTATGGAGGTGAAATGTGTTGATATTTGCTTTAGATCTTGAATGGTGAAGAAGATGATGAGAGCTTGAAGGTGAAGACTAGTGATGGGAAGAGAGGATAAGGCTTTTTGTGAGCTAAGGGAGGAGACCTTCTATTTATAGATAGTCTAGGGACTTAGGGTTTTTGACTCTTCTTGGGCTCAAAACCGGGCCTAATAGACTTGGGTCGGAAATTAATATTGGGCCCGAATAAAAATACTACGAGGGTTCGATATTTAAAATATCGCTTGGGCTTACAAATTAATTCGACTACTCGAATTAAAATGGGTCGACTAATTAAAATAAATTCCCGACTACTCGATAAAAATAATATATCGAAGCTTAGACTTAGGGTTTCATATCTCATTTCCAAAATAATAAAACGAGCGCTCTCTTTTTGGCTTAGACTTATAATATAATAAATTATGTGATTAGTACTAATAATACTCAGCATAATTAAT